CCCAGGGTTGCAGCACCTTATTTATTACGTATGGTATATCACGTATAATGACTCATAGTTGTTTATACTTCATGTAGACTTCATTCAATACTCTTAAATGATATTGAACACAAAGATTTATGTATAACTTCTGGTAATTCTTAATGGTATTGACTAAAACTTGTTTTTACTTTCCCCAACTGACATTACTTTTTTGTAAACCTTAACCATTAACCAAGGAGGTACAGACTCATTGCTGGGTACGTTACTTCAACTATACTGGTTTGCGGCATTCAGTTTCATTATTCGCACCGCACTTCACACCGCACGTAGAAAGTCGAGCCTTTTATCAATCCCTTTTGTGAACAATCCTGGATTTCAGACTTATCTCATTCAGAAATGTTGTGTGGATGCCATGGGAAGGTCATTTGATTTGGTCAGTTTCATTCGATTTTCTTTCATCATAATAAAACTTCTCTGTTTTTCTATTCACTTGCTGTTTTGGTGTTTCCGAATCGTGCATGATTATCAATATTCTTATTTAGACAAGATTTCTTTTGCAAACCACAGCAAAGAAGGGGGCTGCAACAAAACACCCAAAACTAAACATATTCATAGTATTAGATCATGTATTGTCATAATTTACATATGTTATGTAAACCATTTTGTTTAGGACAACGTGAAAATGACCTGTTGAAATCTCACCTGATTCATGTACATATCATAGTAAAATACATGCTGCTTTCAACTACAAACCACCTGCTTACCTTATTCAGCAGAGTAACCACGAAGTATTAGAAATACCTTGAGTTGTGTGAATTAATCTTTTAGTTTTTTAGCTAACTGCATGTGACATTCTGGATGATGTGGCATGTTCGTTTGTTTTTGTGGTATACATATTCATTTTGTTCGGCTTGTAGAAAACAGCTAAAAAAATGTCTGGAGCATGTTTGGTAGATGTAAGAGGCAGGGGATAGATTCACTATGGCGACATTGCAATCAGACACTTCAGCATTTAGAGGCCATATGTGGACAATTACTAATGGGATTCAGGTAAAAGTGACGTAAAGACAGATGCTACTGAGACAAACTTCATATCAACAAGATTTTATTTACTAGATTGATATTTGTTGTACATCTGCTTTTCTCTGATATGATCATGTAATTCATAACAATATGTTTATTAGTTATAGTAATCTTCAGATTGTCAATTTAAATTACATTTACATGGGATTTCATTATCAATATCAAATTTCACAAAACACAAAATTTGCGACTAACACAAACAATTCGCAAATACAAAACAAGAAACAATTAATGCTTGCCCATCTCACGTTGTGTAATTAAAGGGTTATGCTGTGAATAGATGTGATGTTTTCACTTTTACTAAATAAAATTAATCAATTGCAAATAACATTACTATTTTGTGAAAAGGTGGGACCTGGCTACTAACACTTCAAAAAGTAGTTTGGTCTATCCAGAAACTTTCCAACTTTAATTGATGTCTGGGATAATCCAAAAGGATTCTTCAGATTTCCTGATTTGTCTGCAAATAGGTTAATGTCAGGGATGAAATAGTGTGGGCACATACTGTCATCAAGCCATTGCTTCAGCTTTGTGGCCATTTCCATTATACGTTCAGGAAGACGACTACGATGCCATTCATGACTGTATGGATGATCTTCACATTGCCAGAACAACAATACCTGTGTGTCAGCAAGTTGAGAAAGTTTGAGCATGTGACTGTGATTGTAGTGATCGTTATATTAATAAATATGTGACCTTATTTAACAGTTAATCGAATTTGAAAAATATGTTTATATTGCTCGTGACTCGGAGATTGGTCAAGACTAGTGGCAAACCCCAAAAGGAGCTTATTTTTCGAGTTCGTTACACCCCGCAGACAACTTTTGTTGGCAATGTTTTTCTGAATCTGTAATGTCTGCGGAACAAAATAAGCCCTGCTGTAATAACTTTCATGCGGGTCTTGACCCCGATTTTTGGGTTTAAAAATAGGTATTTTGGTACAAAAATATTTAAATAAGTAAACATTTGCAAAATGTATTCAACAAATATAAAAGGGCCCAGGCCAGTGAAAAGTGTTGACAATCTTGTAATATATCTGTATTTAGTCTCTTATCCCATAAAAATAAAAGAGATATGTTTTTGGGTTAAAAAATTGAGTTTTTGTTCAAAAAAATCAAAAATAACAATGAAAATGTCACATTTCACATGTTTCAGTCATTTATTAAACTTACGAGTATAAATGAATAACATAAACATGGTATATTAAATTGAAGTCAATCTTTCCAGCTTGTATATTCTTCTGGTCACAAAACCATTTTTCATTTTACTTAAAATATAACAAACATTTTAAAATACGAAAAACTGATATTTACATATATCGCAGTGACAATTCTACATAGCCAGTATAACAATTTGATAACACATAGAAAATCACATTATACATCTTCTCCCATCTCCAAATTATGGTTTTTACTGAATATAACACATTTGTGGATAGAACACATACTTGTTAGGTAGTAATTTGTATTAATGATTAACTAAAATAATATTAAATCTAGAATAACATCATATCTTAACCCGGTATATAGATTTAAAGTAACCCATGTAATAATGTGACTTAATTCTCACAACACTATAACAAATAAATTGAAACCTAACAAATATTAATTCGCACTGTTAGAACTAACAAGGATAATAGGATAAATCACAAAATATAGCTTAATGAACAGTATTGCAAGAAGATACATAAAAAATGTTTAATCTTTATGTGCCTCATATCTCAGTCATCGTCATCTGATGTGTCGTACAACAACTGCTTGTGTTTATTTTGACATTCATCTCCCCCCATGCATTTACATGCTTCAGTACATGCAAGACTTTCCTTGGAGCATTGGCAATTCCTCTTACAAGATGACTTTATACATCTACAGGATACCAACTGTAATAGGGCTTGGGTGCTGCATCCATGATCATATACACAGGCACTAAATC